TCTACATTATCTACATTATTTAGATTTCCAAACATTAGTTTTCCAGCACAAAATTAAACGTTGCAGAAAAATGTTTGTATGTCAGTAAAGAAAGCAGCAGATTCCATAAGAGACACTTTTCAGATAAAAACATAATGAAGGCTGCTGGGTTTCGCTGCAGAAATAAGAAGCGAGTCGACAGTCAAAGTCTCCAGAAGAAGAACTGTGGCTGCTTCTGCAAGATGCTCAGTAACACTTACAGCTCATTTCCTTATAAAACTGCACACACTGCACCTGAGACTGTGCTTTTTTTTTTTAAAGCAAAGGGTCATGAGTCCAAATGTGTTTCATTTATTACGGTTTACTGCTCTTTATAATATTTTTTAATGTAGAAACAATAATTTAATTATTTTTGAAGGCATCTTTGCTTAGCATTTCTTTGCATGTGCCTAAGACTTGTATATCTAATAGCACAGTACTGTAGGTATTAGATAAAAGTCTTTCAAACTGTAAAGCAAAGATGCACATTTTGGGTGAGGCTTCTCATTAAAATCTTTAGTAAATCTTTAGCTGACAGATTTTTACACCTGAGCATGAGTAATATGAACATGTCCATTTTTGCTCCAGAAGACAGAGCTTATGCTCCATGTGAGAAAAATACTCTTATAAAATGCTATAAATCCTTATGTATAACAACAAACGAAGTAGACTGTGATGGGTATAGGATTCAATTTTCATATGTTCTCCCCCTCTCTAAGTCTGCTTAAATCTCTGTAAAAGAAAGAAAGAAAGAAAGAAAGAAAGAAAGAAAGAAGTAGCATAATTTCAAAAACTGTCTGTAACGGTTTTGAAAGAAAACTGAAGTTATATTTGGTGTAATTTACAATGCACGGCAGTACACTGGCTCACTGCGGCTCCTATTACAGCTCTCGTGCCGTGGGAACGTCAGCGATTACATTCATTATCACAACAGGATTGCGCCACCGCGTTTTCAGTAATTGACGGAACACGCAGCGAACTTTGGCTATGTCTTTCACATGGGAATAATGTGCCCGGAGGAAGAAGAAAAGTAAACTACCAGAGAAAATGGGGAATGAGAGCTAAGAGCAGTACAGAAGCACGATGGGGCTTCACGTCCTTTAAGTGGGTGGCTTTTTCACGGCCTTTCATACTTACGTCAGCTGTCTGCTACACACGCTACCTTTTTCTGTCAAGACCATCACAATGCCTACCAAACTTCCAGAGCAAGCTTGAACTTTCAGAGTTACATTACATAAGAGTTATATTAGAGAACTAGCTCCACAAACTACTACAAGTGGACTGATAAAGAACTAAATCATGATATAAGGACAAAATTAAAGAATAATCAAAATGATATTAGAAAGATAACAGATTTAACTATGTCTGTGGCACCGTGTTGCCTTCAGGCAACAGGAACAATTTTAGCTTCTTGCAAACAAAAAACAACAGCCAATTTTCTAAGTCCATGTTTCATCACAAGGGGTGGAGCCATTACTAACCAATAGAAATGCAAAATTGGTCATATGATCCACTGGCAGACAAGCAGACAAGTCTCTCGCGTAAAAAAAAAACTGACCCTTTAACCAATGTTTCAGTCATTTCTGATCCACGCTTACTGGCAAATCAAGGTGCGTTTTGAATAACTTTATATCAGAAATATATAAATGTGTGCTAGAAAATTGCAAAACTGTGCATGTTGCCCTGAGGCAACAACATACCCTAATGGAATCGCACTAGGCCATAACAAAACTATTAGGTATTTAAATAAGTACTGCATTTGCAAGCAACATAGTTAGAAGGGTCTGAATATCTTTGCATTATAGCCACGAATTAACCATTTTGGAAAAAATATATATATATATATATATATATATATATATATATATATATATATATATTTCATATATTATGAATTACAGTACGTTATTCTATTATGTATAAGATAAATCCCTCTTTGTTCTACCGAACTTCAAAGAGGTATGAAGCAGAGCTAGCAGATGAGAGGATGAGATGGCATTTAGTGATGAGGAAGATGATGAGTAAGGCAGAAAGTGAGAGTGAGGATGATGATGATGATGATGATAGTGAATAAGGATATGGTGTGGCAAGAATTATTAAAATAAGAAAATTAACAATGCATTTGGAATACATTTCATTTCTTATGTATTGTACCTTGTTTAAGTTGCCTGCTATGCAAATTGAGGTTTTAAAAATAGTTTTCTTTTTGTCTATGAAAACATCCATCGTTTCAATATTTCCCATTATGGTACAATGTTGCCTCGAGGCAAAAAACACTAAAATCCCTCACAAAATATAAATATATTTTGAAAATAAATATTGATTATGTTTAAGTATTCTGTTTTATGTAGAAAAAAGGGTATTTTTTTTAACCAAATGGCATCATAATGTGTACCATAGAGGGGTTAAGAAAGAGAAAGGTTATGTGTTGTAGAGGTTTCTTAAGGCAATGATCAAATGAAGTGCAGTGACATCTTTATCTTCTGGTGTGGCTTAAGTAAGGAAACAGATGTTACTGAACTACAAACAGCTGCAGAAACACTTTAAAGCGCACGACGCCTTTGTCTGAGACATGGCAGAGCACAAAGACCTGTGAACTTGGCACTATGGCACTCTATAAGTGACAGAGAGATAAATACACAAAGGACCAGATTCAATTAGGAAACATTCTGTGTAAAAAGATCAGGTGTTAAGTACGAAATTCAGATACATGCCAGTTGTGAACAGACATTTTTCTGCTGTGTAGATGGCCAGATGTTATGTGCGGTTGGGAACGTTTACAGAGGCAAAGGCTTAAAGACATGTTGAAAGAACATTTACTAGCAAATTAATGCTATTTCAGAACAAACATCATCAGGTACTACTCTTACATAAGAAATAAAAGAGGACCTAAAACCTGACCAAAATGTGCCCATTATATACACCATATGCTCAAAAGTTTGTGGACACCTGACCATCAAATTCATTGTGCTTGCCTTGTGGCGAATCATATTCGTTTTTTTGGAATCGACTCCAAAGCTTTGAGGCTGACTCTCAGTTTTCAATGTCTGGAATCTGTGAATCGACTCTTTTTGGGATCGACTTTGATGTGAACCGAAAGCAAGATGACGACTTGATGACTTGACACACAATATATATTAAAAATATAAATCATATATGCTAAAAAAATAAACAGTGCAGTGTTTATCAATGTTACTGAGTCGAAAAAATAGTCTAACTACTTTCAATCTAATTGTTTCAAGTAGCTTCACTACTCACTGCCAAGTACTACACGATGTGCGAGTTGTGTTTTGAAAAGAGAAAACGTCTTGTAGACTAATCATTCATTTAAAATCATGTTTATTTTCAACCCATCGAGTTTTCATATTAACTACCATCTTTTCGGCCAAAGTAGCATGAGATAATGTTTTCTGATAGGGCAGGAAAAATAGATAAATATGACCATAAATGTGCAATACAGCAAGAAAACTATATGTTCAACCATATAGTTCCACTGTTTCTCACATTCTCACAAACGAACAGTTAAAAATCAGAATATTACTCACACGAAAGCACAAGTTATATCAGGAGGCCATCAGCGGAGTGTAATGTAAAGTGTTTCCATGCTTTAAAGCAGGTTTTCTCAGTTGTAATGTGCTTCAATAAATGTGTTTTTAGTCTCACTGAAGTTACATAGCTATATACCTGAAGTTACATAGCTATAACCTGACTACCGCCTATTCACAACATCACAGAGTAACGTTACTACGACGTATCTAGGACTTTCACTTTTCAAGGCCAACTAACTGATAAGGAAACGCGATGCCAAGCGATTTTTATCGATTAGATGTTGCAGCCCTAATAACAACAACAACAACAACTACAACTCCAACAACAGTAAGAAAAGAAGGAAAAGAAGAAGAAGAAGAAGAAGAAGAAGAAGAAGAAGAAGAAGGACAGTACTGCTACTACGTCTCTTACTACTTGCAATAATAAGAATAAGAATAATACATATCTATACAATGCTTTGCATTTTTATGCTGGATTGTTTGCAAATACTAACCGTTAATGTTGAGTTTATGCATCTATCTTCTTATTTTAGTATTAAATCACAAAATTTAAATGAAAGATAAGGCTAACAAACA